TCCATTTGGAATTTACCCTGGGCATGGTGTGAGTTATAAATCCAATTCTAAGTGGCTACCAGTTGCCAGTGCTGTCTTCACACAGGTGGAACCGGGTGAGAATGAACATGAAAAAAAGATTTGAAATGAGAAAAAAAAGTCACAAAAGTGCAGACTTGGGGGTGTGATATTTTTGAACTTTATTTTGCATAAAAATACAAGCTTTTTGCTGTTGTTTCATCAGATGGAGGACTTGCCCTCTCCCTGTCTCTGCCTTTTCACCGTTTCCTACATTCTCCCATCTCTTGCCCACATGACCCTGAGCTACAGCACTGGAGCACAGTGCTAGGGAGCTGTGCCTAGCTAGGGGAGGAGCAAGGAAGAATTAATAGTAATATCAGATCATAGAGCTGAATATATCATATCAAAGAACACCCAAGGGTTGCCTACATAGCCATACCAAATATAGAACTGGACTGCGTTAAGAGCACTCTTCAATAGCACACCTAAAACAAGCATGAATTCCACTTCAAAAAGCTGTGAAAAGTAATCTAGTTCTTACTGAAGTATCTTCACAGAACTATCGTCTAACAGAGCAAAACCTGCTATGATGTTCTTGAGGCATCTTTCTTCTCAAGTCCCTGTCACCATGACAGCAATACCCCAAACATTCCTTGTTGTTTCTCTCAAGCTCCAGCTTGCCTCTCTCTTCCCCACTCCTCCTGTCCCCTTTTGATCTGTTCTGAGAGGTGCTCCCTGCCTTTCCTTGTAGATCACTGGTCCCCCATTCGGGACAACCAAGGACTAGAGGCTGAGCAGCTACATGTGGGCTCCTTAGGAGGCAGGGTGGAGGGCAAGGTGGAGAATGAACTTTGAAAGTCATTCCTATGATGTTACAAAATGCTTCACTTCTGCATGCAGTGGGCCCTCCCGGGTAGGAGTGCCTCAGAGCGAACAGCTTTGGAATCTGCTTTCTCCCAGCAGATGGCAGCCTTCTCCAGCAGATGGCTTGGAGCACGGCCCTGATCATCTCACTTGCTCGCCGGAGAAGGCAGCCTGAGCAATGTGGTTTATGTGCTATAGAATAAAATACAAACACTCAAAGAGCATAATAGAACACACAAAAGAAACGTACAGGCCAATATCTCTGATGAACACAGGTGCAAAAATCCTAGCAAATCGAATATAGCAGTACATTAAAAAAATATTACATCACTACCAAGTGGAGTTCATTCCAGGGCTACAGGATCTTAGAGATTTTATGAATTTGACCCCAAGAGTAAGGTAAGTAAAGGGAAAAATAAATAAGTGGTACTATATCAAACTAAAAAGCTTCTGTACAGCAAAAGAAACTGCCAACGAAACAAAAAGGCAACAAACCAAACGGGAGAAGATATTTGCAAATAATAGCTCTATCAGGGGTTAATATCCAAACTATATAAAGAACACATACAACTTAACACCAAGCAATCTGATTAAAAAGTTGACAGAGGACATACAAATGGCCAACAGATATATAAAAAGATGCTCAACTTCACTAGCTATCAGGGAAATGCAAATCAAAACTGCAATGAGATACCACCTCACACCTGTTAGAATGGCTGTTATCAACAAGACAGTAATAACAAGTGCTGGAGAGGTTGTGGAGAAAAAGGAACCCTCAGTCACTGCTGGTGGGAATGTAAACTGGTAGAGCCACTACGGAAAACAGTATGGCGGTTCCTCGAAAAGTGAAGAATAGAGTTGCCATATGATCAGTAACCCCTCTTCTGGGCATCTACCTGAAAATTTTACTCCCAAAGATATATGCACCCCTATGTTCATTGCAGCATTATTCAAAACATGGCCCAAACAACCAGAATCTCCTTTGATAGAGAATTAAATAGAGAAGGCGTGGTACATATATACAATGGAAGACTAGATGAGGCCCAGCTGTGAAGCACTGCAAGCGGCTGTGGGGCCTTGGGCCTTCTTTTGGAAGTTCTGGGTTTCTCTGACCCAGCTGCAGTTTGCTAGGTAATTTTCAGATTGCAAAGGGCCAGGCCTTTCATATGCAAAAGCCTCTGTGCACAGCTTGGGTAGGGCGGGGTCTCTGGGGATCAACAGGGTGGAGCCAGCAGCTACGGCTGCTCCTCAGTCCTGCCTTAAGAGGCCCCAAGTCTCAGTGTCCTGGTAATCGCTGCAAGCACCTCTGAGAGAAAGCCGCCCTCAAGTTCCAGCCAATGCCAGATAGTCCAGTTTCTCCTGTATGAGTCCTGGCTCCCCAGAGACTCGCCAGGAACTGGAGTTCAGAGCAGTCAGGAGCTTGACTACCTCCCAATTGAAAAAGACAACCGTGTCCTCAGTTTCCAGCCCTTTCCACGTGAGCCTCCGCACCCCTGCACTTTACTTCTGCACCTCCTCTGAGTCTCATTGTGCTTTTCTCTTTCCTTCTAGTTGTAGAATTTCCTCAGCCAGCCTTCCTGTGGTTCTGGATGATGTCCGTTTTGTCTTTTAGTTGTATTTTTGAAGTGGTTGTGCAAGGCAGCAATTTCCAGTGTTTACCTATGCTGCCATCTTGGTTTCACTTGGGCATTATTTCTTTAGGGTACATTTCTAGAAGTAGAATTGGATTAAGGAATATAAGCATCACTGACTCCTTTTGCCAAGTTATGTATGTATGTATGTATGTATGTATTTATTTATCATTTATTTTTTAAAAAATTTTGTTTTATTTCTTAAAGTATTACAAAGAGTATTGCATATTTCTTCCTCCCCCACCCCCCGACATTCCCCTGGCCTCCCCTACCTGGCAGTGTCTTGTGTCCATTGGTTATTCTTTCACAGGGGCTGTTTCAACCTCTCAGGGGCCGTCACAGCCTCACTGGGGCCGTCACAGCCTCGCTGGGGCCATCGCAGCCTCTCAGGAGCCATTGCAGCCTCGCAGGGGGCGCCACATCCCATGTTGGGGGTGAAGGTATGAGTCAGAAGCTCCTCTCACTGTCTCTTCTGCTGCTCCCTTGCATATCACTGATGCTGGAAGTTTTTGAGAGCAGTCTCCAGGTGCTGGACATCATACTTAAACTGGTCAACATGAAGTTTGGCATTCTGTCTTTTGTTGGGCAGCTCTTTGCCGGACAAAATCTCCAGGCGTTCTTGGTGGCTGAATATCTGGTATGCTTGCTTGGATTTTGTTTTCTACTAAGTGCACAGACTGCTTGTCTGTGGTCTTCCAGCGTCTCATGTGAGACTGGATCTGGTGGACCTGCTTGTGCGTTTGCTGTTACAGCGGTTCCATGTCGTCGGCCCAGCCAGGTCCAGCTCCAGTTTCCTCTGAACCTGATTCTGCTTCTTGAGTGTGTCCCTTATGTATGCGAGGAGTTGAAATCTACAGTTTGTTGGGTTAGGCTGCAAAAGCGCAGGTGGTTCCTTATGTGCCACTGGCACAGCTTGGGCAGGGATTAAATTGAGTAGGGTAGGGTCTCCGGGAATCACCAAGGCGGAGCAAAGAGCAATGGCCTCTCCGTGACTCCTCGCCTCTCCACAACTCCGCATCTCCAAGTCCCTGAGTGCCGGCGAGCAGCTCTGCGAGAAAGCCACCCTTGCTCTCCGACCCACTGCAAGGCTGTCCCGCCTCTCCCGTAGGGGTCTGGGACCTCAGAATCCCGCCCCACACAAGCTCAGTGGATTTGAGAGTTTATAACCCCTTCCGATTGAAAAAAACCGCGCATCCAGTTGCAGCCCGCCTGGCGCGTGACTCCGTACCTCTGTTCTTGGCACTTCTGTACATCCTACTCAGTCTCAATGCGCTTCTTTCTTTCCTTCCAGTTGTAGAGCTTCCACTGGGCCAGCTTTCCCATGGTTCTGCATGATAGCTGTTATAGTTGGTAGTTTCAATGTTGTTGTGGGAGGCAGCATGCACAGGTCTGTACCTTATGCTGCCATCTTGGTTCTCCTATTTATTTATTTATTTATTTAAAAGTATATCGCCCCCTACTGGGGATCGAGCCCACAACCAGGGGATTTGTCCTTGACTGGAATCGAACCGGCAGACCCTTCAGTCCACAGGCCGACACTCTACCCACTGAGCCAAATCACTTAGGGCATGCCAAGTTATATTTTATGAAGTGTACTAATTTAAATTTCCATCTGTAGTCCACAAGAGTGCTCACTTCATCTCAGCCTTCCAGCATTGTTATCCTTTGCAAAAAAATTTGATAGTTTAAAAAATACCTCATTTTTCATATTACTGTTCTGATTATAAGTTCAGACTTTCTTACATTTATTAGTCCTTTATATAAATGTAAATTCATATATAAATTCAATTTTCTCCTTTGTCCACTTAACTTTTAACATCTACCTTAGTGTTTTTCTTATTCAACTATACTTTTGAATAGTAAATACTCCACACATATTAAAATTGTTAAGCCTTTATCATATTTGTTGCCAAATACTTCTCCAAATTTTTTTTATATATATTTTATTGATTTTTTACAGAGAGGAGAGGAAAGGGATAGAGACTTAGAAACATCGATGAGAGACAAACATCGATCATCTGCCTCCTGCACACTCCCCAGTAGGGATGTGCCTGCAACCAAGGCACATGCCCTTGACTGGAATCGAACTCGGGCCCCCTCAGTCCACAGGCCAACACTCTATCCACTGAGCCAAACCAGTCAGGGCACTTCTCCAAATTTTTATTTCCTCTTCAAGTTTTAATTTTTGACATACAGAAGTTCCAAATATTTTAATCTATAATTTCCTCTGTATCTTTTGTCGCCTTTAACTCATATTAAAATCCAGTGATTAAGTAGACAGTCTCTTATTTTTGCTCTAATTCAATTAAAAATATATTTAACTTGTCAATTGTGATTTACTAGCTGATGTGGTTTATTTTGGTACATACTGTGTCCTATCTAACTTGACCACTTTCCTAAATAGTTATATTTTCCTAACTCCTTTTTCTATTGATTTGTGATGCTATCTTTATATCTTTGATTCTTTTTGAATCGAATTTTTGCTTTTACTTTTCTTTTTTGCAGATCATGGTTACTATGAGTACGCAAGGAAAAGGTAAGACTACAGTTACAGTACAATTTTTCCAGACTCGAACTAGTGGGCCAGCCTAGCTGGATGGGGCAAACTCATTCAGGGGCATCTGAAGTGAAAAGCTAGCTTGGGGTTTTTGAGAGGATTCCTGTGTTTTCCCTTTGTCATAAAGCCCTTTTCTTTTCAAAATATATTTTGTTGATTTTTTACAGAGAAGAAAGGAGAGGGATAGAGAGTTAGAAACATAGATGAGAGAGAAACATCAATCAGCTGCCTCCTGCATGCTTCCTACTGGGGATCAAGCCTGCAACCAAGGAATATGCCCTCAACCGGAATCGAACCTGGGACCCTTCAGTCCATGGCCTGACGCTCTATCCACTGAGCCAAACTAGCCAGGGCATAAAGCCCTTTTCTAATGACAATTCCTGTAGGAAAGAGAAAGCAGAGGAAGAAAGTGATTAAGAAGTAAGAATGGGGGAGAATATTGAGATGCAGGAGAACTCTCCTTCTAGTCAGTGTTTTGCTTGTTTGCTAAATACTAGGTGTTACTTACCAGGTCTGAACCTTTGAGGGACTTGGGATGCTGCATTGACAATTTCATATCATAGATTTTGTGAAGCTCCAAGTCAATGTATTCTACTCCCTTAACATCTAATTCAAGCACAATAACTAGTGAAATTTCAAGAAAATGTCCTCTATTTAAATATATATATGTACTAGAGGCCCTGTGCACAAAAATTTGTGCCCTCGGGGGGAGGGGGGTTTCCCTCAGCCCAGCCTGTGCCCTCTCGCAGTCTGGGACCCCTCAGGGGATGACCACCTGCTGACTTAGGCCCGCTCCCCGGGGGGTTGGGCCTAAGATGGCAATCAGACATCCCTCTGGCAGCCCAGCAGCCCTCGGGGCATGTCCACTTGCCAGCAGGGAGCAGACCTAAGCTGCAGTCAGACATCCTTAGTGCTGCTGAGGAGGCAGGGGAGGCTCCCGCCACCACCGCTGTGCTGGCAGCAGTCAGCCTGGCTTGTGGCTGAGCAGAGCTCCCTCTATGGAGGGGGAGCACACTGACCTCCAGGGGGCAGCTCCTGCGTTGAGCGTCTGCCCCCTGGTGGTCAGTGTGTGTCATAGTGACCAGTCATTCCCAGTCTTT